GTTATTGGAAAGTTGGAGATGAGCGATGGAAATTTGTATTTTGTCTTTCGCTAGCATCAGATAATTTGTATTTTGTGTTTCGTTGTGTAATAAGGTAAGGGTCGATAAAGTCAAGCTCGCAAAATCACTTCAAAAAATCAGTTGTAGGAGGTAGGGCTTGGCACTATACCATAAATATCACAATTACTATTATACCATTTCATTATTAGTGAATACAGTACGAGAAATTACCATATGATAAGTCTAAATGGTAATATGGTAATATCATTTAGACCTGTAGTATGAGATTGGTATTGGAGGTCATTACCATATTTACCTTATGGGCCTCCAAATTATCAAATTTACCACTGATCCAAAAATTTTTTTTTTTTTCAATTTTAGAATATTTTTAATGATTTTTTTCCTAAAACGGTGGCAATTTTTGTAATTTTGCCAACAATTCGGCAATATAAATAATAATATCTCATTAACCTGCCCAACTTTCTTCCTCTACTTCTTTCTCTTCCGCTAGAGAGAAATTCTCTCTTTTCGCCACTCCTCAAAAACCCTAAGATCTGTGGCCTGCAACTGCTACGGGACGGAGACAAGCAGATCTGAAAATGGATTTTCGGCGATGGAGCAAGATGGATGAAGAAACCTACAGTTGCTGGAGATGGAGATTGAAACTAGAGGTGATGGTCAATGATGATGATGGTGGTGACGGTGACGATGCGGATGGTGGTGATAGCCGAAATTGGGGGGAGGGGGCTCCAAGGAGAGAAAGATCGAGAACCTTCCTCACTTTTTCCTTTTTTTTTTTTTTTTCTATTTTGTATTTTTCAATTTTTGCTGGTTTTTTTTTTATTTTTTTTTTTTGATGTGTGCATGTCTTGGATAATTATATATTTGTATGCTTCAAGATGATGAAGAACAATATGGAGAAAATAAGTTTTTAAGATAATTTTGAACTTCTAAAATTGAATTTTGAATAACTTGAATTAATTGATAATGGAGAGAATAAGTTTAAATATGGTAATATGGGATGGTATTGGTAGGACAAGTTTCATTACCATTAAAAATGGTTGGCAGCCATTACTAAAAAATCATCAATTAGTATGAAAGCGGTAAATTTTTTTTATCACCATTTAAAATGATTACCATCATTTGAGAGCGGTATGGTAACCGTACCATACCATGCCCAGCACTACCAAGTGGTGTGATAAGAAGGAATTAAGACAATAGAGAGGAGAGATGAGAGAGTCAAAGTGTTTACAAATTAGATTTGTAAGTTTGAGAATTGACATACTTACGTTTTTATTAAAAAAATTATAATTTTTTATTAATTTACGATTCTCTGCGGGGATCTATAGGGCAGAAGAAATTTCTCAAGAAATTTTGAAGGGAAAAAGTTGTTTCCATCCCAGTCTCACAAGAAAAAATATTTTGAGAATCTTTATTTTCACGAGGATGTTCACAAAGCTTCACATGTTATGTAGGAAATTACAATCCCTCCATTATTGATGCAATGTGCTTTTGAATTTTTTTTTTAAATTATCCAATTGAAAAAGTATTTTACAATTTCAAACTATAAAATATTAATTTTTAAATAAAAATTTTAATTTGTAAAACATTAAATTTTAAATAAAAAAACTTTTAATATTAAAAATTATAATTTAAAATAATTTAAATTATAAAACAACCTAACCTCTTATCAAATTACATTTTAATGCTCTTATAAATTATAAAAGAGTATTTTTTTAACGGATG